GTTTAGGGTTTGGGGTTTGGGGCATAGGAGTTCAGAGCCCCTGGTGTAGGCCTAGGGCTTAGGGTTGCAAGGGCTTAGGGTTCATGATTTAGGCTTTAAGTTCAGGGTTCAGGGTGTAGGCCTAGGGTTTAGGATTAGTTCCGGCACTACGGCTTCAAGCTTATCAGGTGTAGGGCTCAGGGAGTAGTGAAGGAAGCATCCACACATGAAAGTTGCTTCCGAAGTCATGCGACCGGCTTTACAAAACCTAGATCGGCGTTTGTTCTTGTGGGTGCGCTTCAAGCTTTCGACTTCCACTAGAGCTTTCTATGACCAGCACCCGGAAAGCGGATTCGGAACAAGCACAGATATCAACGGCCCCCTTTTCTGCATCAAGGGAGTAGAGCTTAGGAGGTTCTCCGGCTGATGGCTTAGAATACTGTCCAACGATGGAAATCGCATCGCACGAAGCTTCAACATTCCTTGCACGAGCCGTGAAACACGAAGACGGCAATCTTTCAACACTCTGCACACAGTCTGGACACCCTCAGTCTTGTCTAACAAGCCGAGGCACTTGAGATTGGAGTGCTGCCTCAGCTGAGATTCACCACAGGAGCGCAACTTGAGGGTACTGCTCCCATACACTGACGGTCTTTGCAAAGGCTCCTATTTTTGGGCCCTATACATTGCAGAGTGGGGGCAAAATCCGAGAAGTACCCCTTGAAAAGGTACCTTTTACCTAAACCCTAAACCCTAAACCTTAAAGACACACACATCCCAATGTTTGGGAAACCCTGAAAGCACCAAACCCCCCAGAGCCGCCCCAAGGCAAACTCAAATCGGCTCAAATCCAAACATTCATTAACCCACCGTGCCAAAAACAATATGTGAACATGGCAAAACACTACTTATAGTATAGAAATGTATAGCAAAATCAACTGAAATAGTCAATCATGAATCGGAAGCCCGTTTTACTACAAGGATTACGCTGAGTCCAAAAAATCGGGCCCTCGGGGAACTTCTCTCAGCCCAATCAAAGCCCAAGCGACGCGGCCAGCATCAAAGGAAAACTGCCCGTTTCCGAGCGTCGGCAGGGATCTGCCCGGGCCTCTAAGAGAAGATCCACCTGGGGTTCCATAAAGGGCTCTGTAAGTCTGGGATAAGAGTGCGGTGAAGGGTTTCTGAATGGGGATGTAGGATTTAGGTTTGGGCTAGGGTTTAGGGTTTAGGGTTTCGGTGTGCCTGGGTTCAAGCTTCAGGGTAGAGACTTCAGGATTGCGCATGAAGATGGAGAGCCACTCGACAGGTTTATCAACGGCACAATGAGGTTCTCGTATTTAGGGTCGAGGGTTTAGGGTACTTGTTGCTCGTGTTTTGCTTTCTCAATGTGCCTTAGAATCGTTGCCATTTCCGTCCAGTCTGCGCCCGTTGCTTGACATTATAGCTTCTCGACAAGGCTGTCTACGCTCAAGGCACGCTATCGTCGCGTAAACCGTAAATCCAAAAACCCTGCCCAAGACCTGCCTTTGAGAGGTCATTGTTGAGCTTCACGGCCTCGCGATGGAAGGTCACACATTAGTGTGGGTGTGCCTATATTTGCGTTTGGGTGTGCTCGTACATTTACCCGCTGGACATTGGAATGGTATAAAACCCTACACTCTCAACTCTTGACCCGAGAACCCTGGATCCTAAAGCGCCTTTAGTTAACCTTTCAAACTCTGGATCCTAAACCGCCAATGCCCAAAGCCCAAACAGCTTGCCGCCTGGTGGAAACACAGGAATAACGAAGAAAAGAAAGAACACAATAATGAACGTAGTTAGTAATAAAGGGAATGCGTGTGTGTGTGTGTGTGTGTGTGCGTGTGCGTGTATGTGTATGTATGTGTATATATATATATAGATATATATATATATAGACAAGAGTAACGACAAAAATAACTACACCAACCCTGAAAGAAGGCGGAGGGGCATTTTTTTACTAACGTTGGCGGTCCCCGGTCTCACTTGCTAACGTTAACTCTTCCTTTTTGGTTGCAAATACTGTAAATTGCCGCATTTGTTACTGTTTTGCATCAGCTATTGGTGAATTGCAACCAGCAGGGTGTCGTTTTGCCCCAAGCTGTTGTAAGATTCCAGTTTCGAGGTGCCGGTCTTGCGTCAAGATATTGTTGCAATTAGCAGGGTTTCGCTCGGCCCCAAGCTATTGCGGGAGTGCAATTTCGAGGCTCCTGCCTTGTGTCAAGCCATTGGGGAATTGCCATTTGCAGGGTTTTGCTTTGCTTCAAGCTATCGAGGACTTCCAACTTGTACGGTATTGTTTTGCCCCACGCTATTGGGGGAGAATTTCGAGGCTCCTGCTTTGTCTCAAGCTATTGGGGAATTATCGTTTCCAGGGTTTTGCTTTGCGTCATGCTATTGCGAATTACAGTGCGCAGCGTCTTGATTTGCGTCAAGCTGTTGGGTAATTACAATTTGAATGTTTTTGCATTGTGTCATGCTATTGTAAGTCCCAACTTGCGAGGTATTGCTTTGCCCCAAGCTATTGGGGGATTACAATTCATAATGTATCTTAAACACGCCCCTCATGTGGCCAGACCGGTTCATCATATTTCTTAAGCATGCCCCNNCCAGCTTCATCATGCATCTTAAACACGCCTCTTCATGTGGCGATTCCGGCTCATCATATATTTTCAACAGCGTGGATCGGTCGCCAAGAGTCGCCACGTCACTTTTCGTCACATAGCTTACTCATGTATTGATCTTCGGGTCGGCTTCACACCTACTGAGTGCTTGGTGCAGTAATATGCCCGCCATGCGTGGGGCCCGCTCGCACAGTTCAATTCAAAGTAGCTGTTGTTGTTGTTGTTGGTGGTGGTGGTGGTGGTTGTGGTTGTTGTTGTTGTTGTTGCTGTTGTTGTTGTTGTTCCCCATCCTCGGTGCGGGGTTGTTAGAGTTTAAAGTCAACTATTCCTCCCGCCCGCTCCTCGTCCGCTCCTCGCCTGCTGAAATTACCTCCAAAGACTGCCTGGAGTGCCCAACCGAGCTTAACGCTAGTCAGCGGTGCGCCCCCATGGACCATCGACTGACCTGAATCGAACACGTGTTTTGGTACGTGTACGGGGACCCCACGTCCGTAACGCCAGCCAGTGGTGTGACCCCATGCATGGGTCGTCGAATGACTTGAATCGAACACTCGTGCTTTGATCCGTGTACGGGGACCCCACGACCGTAACGCCAGTTAGTGGTGTGACCCAATGGACCGTGGAGTGACCTGAATCGAACAGTCGTGTGTTGTTACGTGCACGGGGACCCCACGACCGTAACGCCAGTCAGTGGTGTTGTTTGTAAGGTGGGAATGTTCGAAGTAAATAATTATGGTTGTTGTTGTTTTGTGTTGTTGTTGTTGCTGCTATGAATATTTTTTATTCTTATTTTTATTACTATTACTAATATTATTGTTGTTTTTATTATTATTGTTAATGTTGCTGCCGTTGTTGCTGTTGCCGCTATTGTTGGTGTTGGTGTTGGTGTTGGTGTTGGGGTTGCTGTTGCTGTTGCTGTTGCTGTTGCTGTTGCTGTTGCTGTTGCTGTTGGTGTTGCTGTTGCTGTTGGTGTTGCTGTTGCTGTTGCTGTTGCTGTTGCTGTTGCTGTGGTTGTGGTTGTGGTTGTTGTTGTTGTTGCTGCAGTTGTTGCTGCTGTTGTTGCTGCTGTTGCTTGTTGTTGCTTGCTGGCTTGCTTGCTAGCTTGCTTGCTTGCTCGTTGGTTTGTTTGTTCAACCATGCACATGCCGACAGCTCCATGAAGGAACTACTTGTCAACTTCATTTTCGGTGCCCGCATGCGGCACCCCATCAACGTTCACAAATTTACCAACAAGAAGCGACGATCTTCTTATGTGTTGCGTCGAAGTTGTGATCGCAGAGGACTTGCAAACTTTCCAGGCTGCCATCAAATGGTTCAGTAAACATTTGCAAGTGCAGTGCTACAGTGTCTGACCAATTGTCGTAGCTTGTGCATTTTAGGGTATAGCCGCCCACAAGAAGTGTTGGTTATCGTGTCAAGCATTTGTGCGAGCCGGATCCTCGCGCACATCTTCAACAAATCTTTATTCAACGTTCGGAAGTGAAAGTTTGACTTTTTTCGGCGTGTAGGTTAATTCCCATTGTGACATAGGCGGCTATGATCAGGTAAAGCGTCTGTTTGCTGCTGCTGCTGCTGCTACCTGCTACTGCTGTAGTTTGATAGCTGCTCGGGTTATTCGTCAGAGCGACATAGTGCCCGACCCTGCAAGCAGTTCCACCTGTGTTTCTCCCACTGAAGGCGCTGCTGTGGAGCGCTTGGGTTGGTAGACCATGTCACCGAACCTTGCATAGCTGATAGAGGACAGAGTCGTTGTTGTTACAATGTTACTTCAATTTAACCGCCAGCGCGAGGGGCGCCTCGGAGCCTTTTTCGAGTTCCGTTATGCGTGCCTGCAGCCAGCAGCCGATTATGCAGACAAATAAAAATAAATATTTTTCAAGGCCAGGGTTCGGGCATTGAGTGTTTTAGTTTCTTTTGCAGTCATGCCGCAAAAAGCGGCAGGGCAGAAAGGGAGGGCAAAGAAGCACGGAGGAAGCAGGCGTTGCAGAGGGAAGGAAAGGAAGAAGAACCCAGCAAAGCAGCGAAGACGGGTTCGGGTCGGTGGGAGCCTCTCGCACTCCTCAAGAATAGCTTCAACAAGCCGAAACCTAAAACGCGGGGAGTCCATGAATCCGATCTAGACGCCCCGGCCTCCGGCCTCGGCGGATTCAATCGAAAGCATGCGTTGGACACCTACGGCTGGGCGCTGGTTTTGCTTTCTTGCCGGGAGCATCCTACATTGAATAATGTTCTTCCAGTATGCTCATCACTGTGATCGCTGTGGTTCTCACCCCACCAACACCATCATGATTTCATTATCATCGCGAATGAGCCATCATGGTGAACCTTTCGCATCATCATCATCACCGCCAGCCTCACCACCATCATCACCATCCCGAGATGCGGAATTGGAATCAGGAGGCCCTCGATTATCTTCGCGAGGAGATCAAGCTGGGACCTTGCTGCTTCCAACGACGGCAGAACCCCACTGTGCGGCTTTGAGGGCAACTACTGCGGATGCTGAAGCCAGAATCAACAAGGTGCTTAGTCACAGCTGTATGACGTTGTATCAACATCTACCGACGAAACTTGCCAGATGCCTGTAAAGCACAAACAATCCGGCTAAGCCTTTGCATCATGGAGGCCGCCGAGTCCGTCACAACACTGAAGGACATGATCCAGGCTAAGCAGGCTTTCCGCTCAGGGATTGCAATGACTGTACCATGCTACTGATGCGACATCTCTTGCATCGGACATGAGCATCAGGTGGAGTTGATTCAGAGGAGAAAGGAGGTTCTGGCCTAAAGATGCTTGCCGATGCAGTTCAGAGACATCGAGTTTGTGTCGAGGTGTCTCGCCTGTATCATGATGCAGAATCCGTGGAGGTTTGGGACGGGTCTCCATGTGAATGTGCTGGAGAAGATGTGACACCCACTTGCCAGCTGGAAAATCAGAAGCTTCAAGTCCAGCTTACCAGAGCGTCTCTGCATGTGGGAGGCAAGCCTTTTGCAATGCTTGTCGAGTTGGCTGAGCATTCAATTGGCACCTAGCGGATTTCCGCTCACATGCGAGGCCAGAACCAACATGACGGCGAAGAGGCCCCAGTGCAGTGCATTTTTTTAGCAGAGTTGAAGGGAGCTTTCGTCGCAGCTCCCCGAGGCCGAGCAGCTTCGACGTGAGGCGGAGGATTTCCACACACAGAAAGAGGCCAACACGCTGCCAATGTCGCGAGCCTGCCAGCCTTTCACATCGCAAGCTCGGAGAACTGTCTCTGCAACCTCCTTGGATCTGAGCTTCCGAGATCTCGGAACCAAACCTGAGGGAAGTTACAGAAATTGTAATGACATCTTGCCAGCATTTCAGTCGCCGACCTGCGACGACCCAGGTCTGTGCCTAATGCGAGAACCCAGCACGAGCCATGGGCCAGAGCAGTATGTTTCTCTGGCAGCCGACGCGCACGGGCCGCCTAGCAGCCCTAGCGTCCACGGTCTTCAGCGCTGGCTTGCCCCAGCCAGCCTTCTTCTTTCGTCCTTGTTCTTCCAGAACGCTGGCTTGTATTCTGCAACCTGTGAGTACGTGAGGTGGACGGACGAGACATTCGCTAAAATGGCAGACCAGGAGACGGCGGGGATGGTTCCAATCGAGGCAGAGGCTTTGGAAGATCCCGTGCACCGACTCCTGAAAGCCTCCAGGCTTGCAGATTCACTCGAAGGCTTGAGCTGGTCTCCTGAGATTTGGGTGGATCTCATGGCGGATTGCGTTATCATTTTTCTGCTGTGCTGGCTTGTTCGGAAGAACGATCTCCAGACATGGACGCATTTGGCGCTTTCCGCATCCCTGCTAGCTGTTTTGAAGGGGTTCCTGGCTTGGTCCACTGTACTGCCAAATGCAGCTGGCTGGGGAGCATGCAAGGAATCTCTTGGTTTGGATGGCTTGATGTACTTTAGACGCCAGAACACGGGAAGCCTCGGCCTGATGGATTCTCTGATAGACATCTCTTTGCTTACCATCCAGAGTTTGTGGTTGCTGGGTCGCGCCGCTCCACAGCAGATTTGCTCCGACACCATGTTCTGCTGCTCCACAAGCTCGCTGACACTTGTTTGTTTGAGTGCTTACGAGACAGTTGCACGCAGCGTCGACGAGTTGAGACCCGAACGACGTGCGACCGTCATGGGCTTGTTTGGACTCATCCTTTGCGCAATCGTTCTCGCAGACATCACCCTGGCCATCGGGAGTAAACTTCACTACAGCCTTGACGTGATAGCGGCGGTGCCGTTGAGCTTTCTGGTCTATGGCAACCCTGCTTTGGCCCTGATGGCCCAGGACTGGGCGGACCCAGTAGCCGTTGAGGTCAAGAAAGACCCAACCGGCGCACCTAGATTTCCACCTGACCTTGGATTTGTTTCAGTGGCGCCGTGTTGCTTGCCGTTCGCTGATGTTGCTGGAACGTACTATCTGCAAGATAGAGACTGGGACTTCAGCCCATACAGCTGGACGGCGGAGCGACAGCGCCAGCACTATCGGCGGAAGTCTGAGATTCAGGCCATGCTGGAGGCCATTTCGCATGTGCATTTTCTTGTGTTTGATGAGGTGATGCAGCCTTACAGTACGTACCTAGGATTACCTAGGGTCGAAATTCGTTTATACAGGATGTTGAGGTTGAGAAAATAAGAGACTTCGATATGGGCTCCAGTCATCAGGACCCTTTGTTCATACCGCACTTGAATGACGGGGTGTATTCGGACTTCTCCTTGAGGCCACCAGGCGGCGCTGCGAGGATCTGACACTTCTGTTGCAAAGTGGCAAGCGAGCAGCTGAGCATGCGCTGGAAGAGAGGCGGAAGGAGATCGCTCGCCAGGGCACATCATCGATGCACAATCTAAGAGCGGAGTGGGCAGAAGGGATTTGGCCTTTGGCCGCTCTTCACACTTCACGCTAGCCTGTAGGGGTATTTGGGGTCTGAAGCTTGAGAGCGCCACGCGGCTTGACGGTTTGAGACGCAGGAGGTTGACCGTCGCGTGGCTGAAGCGCGCAGCATACAGGACTGCTAGCTGGTTGCAGATCTGTTTGTCAGTGAGAGGGCCGGCGAAGGGAGTCATGGACCATAAAGGGACCTGTCCCACCAGGAGAGAGAGCTGGCGGATGCCAAATCAGTGCTTGAGGCCGATCGCGAGGCCGCGGACTGTCCGAATGCTCCTCAGCGTAGCTGGCCTAGCTTCCTGAGCCTCAGGTTCTCGCTGCCCTCAAGTCAAAGCTGGCCTCTACATCTGCGCCCCATGAGTGAGGAGCAGGACTAGGACGCCTGGCCCGCGCCAGGATTTGACCGCTGCCCTTCTCAATCGCGTCCAGAGTTGCCACAAAAAGAGTACAGGCGTGGCGCGTCGCACCACCACTTGCTCGACGCAGAGCCAGCATCCCGTGTGCGCGCGCGAGCGCGTGTGTTTTGGGCGCGCGTGGCATGCAAGTAGATTCTACTTCGCGATTCCAGTGGCTCTGTGTGCAAGTTACGCGGCTTCCGCGTTTGCATTTTCTGCGCGCTGCGCTCGCATTGATGCTCAGCCTCTGAGCAGGCCCTGCTTCTGATTTTACGAGACTTCTACGGCGCCATGGGAGAGGACCCGGTTCGATGGCCAGGGTTTTGGGGGTTTGTTGTAGGGAGACGGGCGCGGGTGACAATCATGTGGCCATGTGCAAAAGATGAGGCACCCAAGACCTGACTCACCGCATGTCGGTTCCGTAAAGCTTCAGTTAAACATCGCACATCAATGCCTCATCTAGTATCTATCTGTCTCAGCAGTACAACGAAGTGCCCATCAAAGTTCTGCACACTGTGCCCAGTCTTGGAACATTATTGGGATGTTCGAACTTCGCGGCCCAAATTCCTGGCGAGCCACAATGCCTGCTCCTGCCCTGATCTGGACGGCCCCAGGCTGTTGAACGAACGGTGTTGCGAGGTTTGGAGCCAGAGGAGGTTTCAGGTTGGTATGGAGATGTACTCGACTCGAATTCTGCAGCATCGCAAGGAGCCACCCACACTGTCGTTCTGCCCTTGGCTTTTGGCTAGAAGTTATCTTGGAATTCTTAAGCCAAGTTTCCCCAGGGCCATTGTCAGCAAGCACCAGCTGCGGCCAGCTCCTCGGCATTCCGGATTTGCTGGAATCGGCATGCTGCCATGTCTGTATCAGAGGCCGGGATTCGCAGGCCCTGTGCTCTGTTGTGCGGGCTTTTCTGTTCAGGACCAAACAGCTTGAGCCCGACGGCGACAAGGCTGACTCCGCAGTGTTGCCACGACATGGCTAAACAGTCTTGAGGCGGTTTCTAAAGGCAGCTAAACCTCGCACGAATTGCCGCGGCCGGTTCAGCTCAGGTCGTGCTAGTAAGCAGCTCATGGCCATCCGCACCACTGTGGCACAGATGGAAGCACCTGAGTCACGTGAAGCATCGTGCAATCGTGAACGGTGAACGGGAGCCTCAACTCTGCCGGTAGCTGTGCTTTGAAGGCTGATGTCGCTGTCCCGAAGGTTCCATGATTGGGCATCGGTTTTCAGATCATCGGGTGGATTGCTTGCACGCAATACGGTGCAAGAACCTGTGAGCATTGGTGGGATAGGTGCGGTCGACATCGTTGACGGAGTATCCAGTGCCGTGGTCACAAGCATACGGGGTGATGCTTTGTGCTGACCAGGATCGGTGTTCAATGCCGACGGCGAGGGGCTGTGCTCCTGGCTGCCGCTCTGTGTCAAAGCCTCGACACCTCTCGGCTCGCAACATGGAGCTGATCCGGCGGGGATCCCGTGACCTACAGGCTTTGAAGCAGTGCGCCGGCTCGCTTTCAGCGTGCCCCTCGGTTCAGGCCTGGCGGCAACTCGTGAGACACGTTTTGAGCCGGGCAGCAATCCGTGAGCAGGTCCTGCAGCCTTGGAGCAAGGTTCCATAGGACCGTCCCCAGCCTATGGCAGTTCCTGTGTCCGTAGTCTCAGAGATTTGACAGGACAGACTGCTTCCGCACATCTCTTGCCACGGCAGCAGCGCCCTTGGCCGTCGTGATTTGTCTTTGGAGGTGCCAGACGACACGAGCTAATTTGGACCTTGGCTGAGGCCCCAGGTCCGATCTGCTGCACTTCCAGAGGTGACGACGAGACCCTCCAATGTTGTGTGGGTATCCACGTCAGAGGCTTGACTTGTCGTTCCCGGAGGCTCTCTCAAGCGTGCAGGACCTCATTCAGCAGGCGGCTTGTTCAGTCTTGTTTCGTGTCGGGCAGGTTCTAAGCTTAGAGTAGTCAATGGTCCTGCATGGCCATGAGGCGTGCTGTTTCCTGCCTCGGCTCATGCTTGCCTGCTGTACTTCGCCGTGTGCGAACCATTGCAAAGCTGACCTGAACCACTGCAGTCCTGAAGCAGATGATAGCAGATGCATCCTGAGATCGTCCGAGCAGACAGGTCCCGGACCAAGTCGCCGCGTGTGCATCTCAGCACGAAGCAAGCAGAGAGTCTTTGCATGCTTTCCGCACAGCGGTTTGGATCAGACTTGCCACCTAGACCCACAACCAACAAACCCCCGTCCAGCGTGTCAGCAGGCTCGGTCCTGCCGGGATCTTCTACTTCTTTGGCATTTATGTGGTAGCGGCATCCTCGGCTTCGCAAGTGACATTGGCTGTCTGACATCCGTCGAGTCTTGGCACTTCAAGGCAGAATGTCTGGCGTTGCCAGCCGCTCCCCTCACACTGTCTTCTGGATACCTTTTTGGTGCGACTCTTAGCAGAGGTGCTGATGTAACATGCTAACACGTTTGGCCAAGATTCAGGTTTGCCCGTGGGTGCGGTAACATCTGTTCTGGCAGGGACTGGCTGCTTGCTTTACGACAACATCAGGGGCATGGAGTTCCACTCAAGTTTCGATGGGAGTATGTTTTGCAGGACGACGGCAGCAGCGATTGGATTTTTGCTATCTCGGACCTTCCTCAGGCACATGCCAGACGGGTTGCACGACAGCTTGCGTTTCAAGGGTTGGCGGAGCAGGCCCCAGATTCAGCAAATGGCGGAGGAGAACGAGACTTTCCGAGACATCAACAAGGCATCCGGAAAGTTTGACTTGCGCGACCCAGAGGTCGAATCTGTAGACTTCGGCCCAGAATTCGTAATGAATTGCTTCTTCTTCCTTTTTCTGAGAGGCGGTGGAGCCGGCCTCCAAGTCGCAGTTGCGGCACTTCAAGACTTGTCTGCGTGGTCATCATGAGGGTTGTTTTGACATGAGCTTGTCTCTGGGAAGCGTTTCCTGCTGAAGTTGGCAGTGAGTGTAATTGCTCCGACTGGGCGCAGGAGTACTTCGTACTAGAGTCGCTAGAGTCGGCGAGTCCATGCGTGCTCCCACGCACCTCTACGTCCTTCCTTGCAGCCTCCTCACCGAAGACTTCCTTTGCCCACAGCACCCGAGTCTATCTGGGCGGGGCTGGCAAGGCATGCACCCGAGTAGTTTTCGTTTAAGTGACCGGCCTTCATTGAGAAATGGGCAGCCATGGCGGGCTACATGCCACAAGTTATGTTTGCCGTGGTGCCGCCTTCTGTACTGGTGCCGCCCATTGCAGCTCCCGTTGGCATCGACATTGCCACAGAGGCAGTGCCCGAAACCTCATCCGTCCTTAAAGCCTAGAAATCCACAGTCACGTCGATACGTCGGTAGGCTACATGCTATGAGCTATGCCTTGAGAAGGGTGAAAGTTGCCGGCTGTAACTCTTTGGGCTTGGTGTTGGCTCGACGTCGATGAGATCGGATAAGCTGGGGACAGGAAATAAGCTGGCGAGTTTGTTGTAGGATCGGTGCAACATCTCTGCAAGATAGCAGAGCACGTTCTAGCACGCCGTGACACGGCCAAGGATGCTTGGAGCAGCTTGGCATTAGATTTGAAAATAGGCGGGTTTTTTTCTCCTTGGTCTCTCGTCCCATCAGAGGCGGAGGGTCTTCCAGGGACCATACTGGGGCTGCTGTCCTCGACGGTTCCGTCGCAAGCAAACATGAGCAGAGTGAAGTCACAATAAAAAGACCCACAAGCAAACATCAGACCGAGATGGGCACTGAAAGAAGTTGCTGGAGGAGTGCAGCTGCCGAGTACGCTACACGGCACCATCGTGCAGCCTGTGCGCCATGCCTTCGTCGCTTGACCCGTGGAGGTGCAGCGCATGGTGGAATGCGAGGGCTTCAAGCCCCTGCGCTTGCCAGTGAAGTCCCCGGCACGTCCTAAAGAGTCATGGAAGAAATTGAACTTCTGTCGCGCTTTCGTTTCGCTCTTGGGAGGATGCAGAGTCGAGACTCAGCCCTGCGTCTTCGAAGTATCTCATCGGTAACTGCCTGCGGCTCGAGCAGGCGCCAGCCTTGTTGGGTAATCAGCCGAGATTGAGGGGACCTCCGAACTTGCCCTGCTGACAGGTTCTGAAGCTTCATCCCAGCCTCATAAGCTTGTGGAGCCAGGCCGCCCGACTCGGAAGGAGCATCCAGTTAGGTTCTACTTCGCTCAGCACAGGACGATGGCGTTCTCATGGTTTCGGTGCCGTCTTCGCCATGGCTTGGGGCAAACCCCAAGCCACCATCTGAGCATGGACCTACTGGCCCCAAACAGAAGGAGAACCGAGACCAGGCCCGATCCGCTCTAGAGAGGGACACGAGAGCGAAACGAAGCTCCAGGTGCTGACGGGCATTCTCCGGGGCAAGGCAGAGGATTGAAAGGTTGTCAAGTTTGAGGCTTAGCGGCTTTGCCGGCTTAGCATGTCCGACCATTCTTCCAGGCCCTGGACATTATAGAGGATCTCACCAATATCCCGGACTTGCAAGAAAGCTTACGTCAAGGACTCAGTCTGGAGAACAGGATCGACATGACAAGGCAACTCTGTGCTCCCCTAGGTGATATTGCAGCAATCCTGTTGACATCCCCAGACAGGCCGGGCGGGGACGCAAGAAGGCAATCGTGAGCAGGCTGCTGCAGCCTCTTTTGGAAGGACGATGCTCGTCTCAAGTCTGGGCAACAGAATATCCACAAAAACAAGGTGCCGATGGGGAAGACGCTGAAAAACCCTACTTCCGTGGCTGAACGTTTGCGCGGAGTTCAGCAACGCTTGCCAGGAATTTCCTGCGATGTGCCAAGCTTCGCACGGCTCAACTGCTGCGATGCTTTTCAGACGATTTCCTTCTGGAGGAGATCGGGATATTTTTCATCAGATGGATGATAGCTCACGCTGGTAACAGTTCGCGGCGGAGGTTGATATAAATGCTGCACTAGGAAAGGTGGGACGTCAAGAGTGCATGTTATAGGATTTGGTACGGGTGTGATGGGAACCAAAGGTGTTCTTCTTTGCCTGATTTTGCCGGTGAAAGTCTGCGTTGCCGTGCAGATATGTGACTTCGGCGGAACCAGAGACTCATCCAACGGACTGCTTTCATTTTTTTTAGTGGCCCTCCTTTCCAGTTTATTCGTGTGGCCAAATACTGTTCTTGTCACAGTCTACCGATTATGAGATCGGAGACCAAATGCACATGTCCGCCTTGTTATTGAGAGCGCTTTGCTGCCTCTGAGAACCGGCATGTTTTCAAGCATTGGCAGGAGAAAGGGGCGGGCACAACGGTGACCTATGCAAAGGCTCTCGCCCCGGCTCTTGGCCCCGACATCTGCATCCCCACTGGAGTCGCACCAAGCGACGCCTGCGCTTCGCAAGGCCGCACCTCAGCAGTACTACGTGACTCCACAGCAGCATCAGAGGACAGCCAGAGCTCATAGTGCGGAAGTAGCTTAGGTTGGCATGGTTAGGAGCGTAGCTGTTTGTGCACTGGTGCATGCAGGATCGACTCAGCCAGACATGCAAGACTCCTGAAGCTGGCGACAGACGTTACCATGGACTTCAGGCCAGCAAAAAACTGGGAGCTGCGAGCCAGTCTTCAAACATTTCTGACTGCATAGAGGCAAGCCAGAGGTATGTCTGCTGGCGACCTAATCGAGAAGCTTTGCACCTCGTCACAACAGGACACTTGGCGCCTGTGTCAAACAGAGCTACGGTCAAAGCAGCAGGGCAAGACTGGCTCCTGAAGTGGAGGGTTTCCAGGGTTAGGCATTGCATACTTGCATAATCTTGCATACCAGGCAAAGAAGGCACCAATGGCATGCTGCTGATCGACTGTCGCACTGCCACTTGGAAGTCACTAGTTCCAAGAGTTGGAGAGCTTTTCATGTCGGGTCGTTCTGCTGTGGTGAGATCCTATCATAAGGAGCAGCTAAAGCTAGGCCCTGACTCAGGAGGTGCCATGTTGCAGGTGTAGCTGTCAGTCGCAATGGGCTTCTGTGTTCGAGATTGGGAAGCTGGTTGGTGAGCAGAAATGTATGAAAGGGTTGATGTTGTCTGGAAGCGGCTTGCTCCCGTTTAAACGTCCTTGCATTGCCTGTTGCAGACTTGCCAGGAATCCGAGCAAGTGATCAGTGCTTTGCCTGGCGCAGTGCAGCTTCCCAGAAGCATTGGATCGGAGCCAGCCCAGAGACAGACAGCACTCATGGGACGAATTGCACCCAGGCTGTACCATGTCACTGCCGAGCACTTGCAACAGGCAGTTTGCCTTCTGAACTCTCACAGGAATCATCCACCAGCGACTTTGGGTCTGAATGTGAGAGTGTTAAGCTAAACTTGTACAATCTAGCATACCTTGCTTCCACCCCCAGACGGAAGTTGCACTGTTGCCAGGCCGCCTTCGTCGTCGCGCACCTTGGCTGAATCGCTTTTTGCATGATGCGGCACCCATGAAATGCATGGCGCGAACCCGGCCACGAAGTATCAAAGAGGTACTGCTGCATTGGCTGCCGATCAGCCGAATGGTGCCAGGCAGCTGTGCGATTGTAGCCTGCGGATGTACGATATGGAATCCATAGTCCTGCTTCATGGGCAGGAGCTTTCGAATTCCGCAGTGGCACACAAGCTGCACTTTCTGAAGGGTGGAATCGCAGCCTGGCTTCATGAGGCTGGAGACTGCTTGTTAGTTGGTGTGTTCTCTGCACTTTCTGTAGCCACGTATGCAGCCACGCTTGATACAACTCGCCGCACTCCCAAACTTGTCTTTGCTGGCTCGGATGTATTGGCTTAGGCTGCGTGTGGGAAAACTATGTCGGGCTGCCTGCAGATATCCGAAACCCAGTGTAGGAAATCTCACGATCGTGCCCTGGCTCGGGTCAATGAGTCCATGGTCCACGGGGAGGAGCGGGGCAAGGATGCCCCCCATGCGGGGGCAGTGGCGAGAGGATTTCGAGGACAAACAGAGGGTCTCTGCTGGAACCTCTGATCGCTTCGGCCAGGGCCGAGACGAATTAACTTGCAATGCATCAGTCAGTAAAGGCTAGATCGCTCCACCGATGTCGAGACCGTACTGGGTTGTGCTGAGGTCTTTTAGTCTCACAGGCTTCCAGGGTCCGGCCCGAAGCGCATTCATTCGGAAGATAATGCGGGGATGTAAACACATGACCGTGCCACCTGTCTCTAGCTATTTCCAAAATCAGCCACCACTCCTGGATTTCTGCACGTAAGTCGTGACTACCATCGCCTCGTTCAACACTGCATGTTTTGTAAACTGAAACGCCTTGTGCAGGGAGGCCAGCTCATCCAGCCCAGTACAGGCGTAAGCCTAAGTCGCAGTCGCGAATTCATGTTCGTCTTTTAGACAGCTGGCTGCTAGTCGCGCTGTTCCAGGAATGCCCTGCCGTCTGGTGCACTGCTGGACCTTCGAACTGGTTCCTTTCTTCCCAACCCGAGGTTCGACGTGTAGCTTCCAATTGGAGGCAACACACTACTTTTGAAACATCTTCTTGTGCAGGTTGTGACGTGCACCGTCCGGAGTTGGGCGTCAATGCACCGTGGGGCACTCACTGCTGGAGCTGCTAAAGATACTGCCTGTAACTTTCTGACTGATGTTGAGTCTCAGCATGGATCCTTAGTGTTCCGTGCTGGCGCTTTCCGTTTCAGCCTAGCTTTCGAGGTGTAGCAAGTTATGAAAGTGCAGTGTGTGATGCTGCTTCTGGTTCTGAGCACTCACTTTCCGCGCCGTCACTCCCACTCTCGACTGCCAACTTCTAAACTGACAAGTGGCTTCTTTCATGCAGCCTTACGAAATCCCAAGGTCCGAGATCGAAAGCTCGCCCCAGCGCAGCCTCACGCGTGCCTCGAGGGCACGGCATGGGCCAAAGATTCCAAAACGAGCGCTCGGGTCCGACA